ACACACACACAAAAAGGCTAGAACTTGTTCAATTGTACAAATATTAAGCTAAAATTCGATGTACTTGAAGCCGAGAGTCATTCCCAACTTTCCCCAACAACCAACTGGAGCCCATTGTACTCATGTGTTAGCAAATATCTCAATAAACGTCTGAATTTTTGATTAAATGAAATTATTGATTGAATGCACAAAAACATGTTAGGTTAATTGTTAACTTTAATGACATTTAATGTTCCAAGGTGAGAGTGAATGGTTGTTTGTCTCGTTTGTCTCTGTGTGTCCCTGTGATGGACTGGAGACCTGTCCAGATGTCCCCCACCTCTCACACAGTACCTGCTGGACATGGGCACCTTGGTGACCCGACTACAAATATGTGGTGGATGGATGGATGGACCTATCTGTAACTGATGAACTCCTGGAGTCAACCCAATGATGGCAGCACCCTGACACCACAACAACAGACCATGAACGTCAAGCCCAACATCCAGCCCGTCCTCGTTTCCCTAACGGGGATCCAGAGCAGCATCCTCTTTATTTTCTGCCAGCCCATCAACATAATCCATGTGGTCCGCCCAGCTCCGACCGAAATACTGTCCTCGTCAGACTCTGATGAAACCGGGTTCCCCGACTCGTCTCGCCATGAAAGAGCAGCTTCTCAGCACCTTCTCTGAGGACTTGCATCACCTCTCCAGTGTTGGACGGTGAAGCCGGCGACAGAACACGCATTTGTCGAGCTCTGCCGACCTTAGAAAACACCAAAACGGCTGCAACTCAGTCGATGTTACAGATGTTGAGCCACAAAGTGGTGTGGAAGAAGATGAGATTCACCCTCAACACAAACTTCAAGCTTTCGTTTATAAGGTTTGACCCAAACGGATTTAACCTCGTCCCTTCCCAGGATACGACGAGTCTGAAACTCTGGCAAAAAGGCGTCGATATGAATTCCTTTCAGGAAGGTTGGATTTTTTATTTTAGTTGGCAGATATGAGGGGTTTATTTGCAATTAAAATGTTTGGGCGGCTACAGGGAAATATCTGAATGTCTGAGAGGTGACCGTTTGAATCGTATCAGCCTCCGTCCATCTGCCGCTCCTTCACGGTCACTACAAACAGTTTGTAAACGCAGTTCGAATGACGGATGACTCCAAAGCTTCGGCTCATCTGGTGACCAGCGGCTGACCTGCCCTGACAGCTGGAGGCGTTGCTGTGGTTTGAAAAAGGGTTTCTCTGGCTGTGGAGGTATCTGGCCGCCACAAAGAGGGGAAATTCTGCGCAGACGTTCAGTTTGAGGATAACTGTCTAACCGTGGAGGAGGACTCCCTGTTTACGCTGCGCTGCCAAAAGGAAAAGGCTAAAGAGGCCAAATACCAGATATAGAAACCTGAGATAAGACCTTTTCTCACAATGGAGTCGGCGGATAAATGAGACAAATGTCTGACTTCCTGTTGAAGTCTGAATACAAAAACAAGCGCAGCTTTGGGAAGTGAAACCTCAACAACATGTAAGAAAAATAATCACAGGGTGAATAAAATGATTAAGTTTCTAAATGTGCATAATGTAGATGCAACACTGGATGCTGGCTGCCCCAAACATAGACACGGAAATATTTTCTCATTGATAAATATATTTAATATACTGTGCAAAAGACTTAAACCATTCCTCATTATCGCCCACCAACAGCAAAAAGGCGAGTGATAATGTTCGTCTTCGGCTGCTTTTTTACTGATTTTCTGCTCATTTTTCCAGATGAATTTTTTTTTTTGTTTAAGACACTTGAACTTTGACCTGTGACTTTCGGACTCCCTAAACTCAAGTTATGAAACTGTTCATACCAGTCAACTTGGCAAAATGTTGGTTTTAGTGGAATATTTAGGTGCTACTTCAACAGTCTGACCCAGAGACTAAATTTGTTCCTATTTTTTTTGTTAAATTAAATATATATATATATATATATATATATATATATATATATAAATAACAGCCCAACATATAAAAACAGCACTTTAGCACCAACAAGGTGATTCCTAAAAGCTATTTCCTAAAGATGATTTTTTTTTTTTTTTACATCTTGTTAATCTGCTGAAGTTATTTTTTTCACCGTTCATTTCTTCACTTCTTTTCTTTTTACTTCCACTTGTCCTCCTTCCCTGAGATTTTTTTCCATTCATTCAACCTTTACTTAGACGGGTAAACCCCATTGAGCCTCGAGGACTCATTTACAGGAGAGACCTGATTTAACAAAGAAAGATGACAACAATGGACAGTTATAAAAAGTCTTTTTTTTTTAACAAGAATTTAAGTATAAACTGCAGAAAACACCGTCATGCTCGGGTAAAAAATGGCAGAAAATGTGCGCAATAGTAGCCAAAATCTAAAAAAAAAAATAAACTTAAATTGATGAAGGCCACTTTTTTACAGATTACACAAACTTGGCTCCTTGAAAGCAAAGTGTTTTGGTTTTAAGTCTAAACTGACAGATAAATTGTCTAGTAGATCACCAAACGGACAACATAAAGTCAGATATAACAGATTTTATGATCTTCTCAGTCCAGTGCTCTATCTGCCAAAAGACAGGAGCCTCAGAGACTCCAGTCATAAAAAGCTGCCTGAGAGCGTATTTTATTTGTTAGTTTACCTTCTCTGAACGGATTGTGTGTTTCTGCCTGAGGCGATAAGATTTGTTCTGCTGTCGGCCGTGACTCAGCCGAGAGGAGCTGCTTTCTTTAGAAAGAACAAGTCGTTGGAGCGGGAGGTCGGACTCTGCCGGGTCTCGCATCAACCAGCAGCTCTGCATTTGTCGTTCCCGTCACCATATGTTGGAAGAAAGCTAATTAAACTGCGCTCTAACTCCTCGCGACGTACATTCATTAAGGGCGCAGCTGTTTTCAGACGTTCAACTCTTTTTAACTCGAACGGTGGATCGGATAAAAACTTTTCCTCAGGCTGAGAAAAAACACACATCTCAGCCGCTGAGGTCAGAGTTCAAGAGCACAGAAACTGACCTGTGCGTAAATGGGACACACGTGTGGCCCAACATGAACAAACACGGCAAAGCAACACATTTCCCCCCGATTTGAACACATCTGTGGGACAGTGTGCGAACGTCGCAGCTTCATTTTAGCTCGCCTTCACCTCCAAACAAACACATTCAGCAAATGTGAGCCGTGTTGGCAAAATATCACAACGAGGAATTTTTCAGCACCGAGTTAATATTTTATCCATCCGGTTTGATCATTTTTATTCATCCGGAGTGATGTCAGGAATTACCACCATAAATATATTTTTTTAAAAATGGGAATCCCCAAACTTTACAATGACGTCAAACATTATACGAAGGGATTTCCAGCAGAGAAAAGTGGTAATTTTAAAGGAAATTATGAGTTTTAAAACATTTCTGAAAACATATCTGTCAAAAAATTACAATTTAAAGACAAATTAGGAAGATTTTATGCTATTTTTGTTACAAGGTCATCGATAGATTGTAACTTTATGGACTCATCGTTAGGCAAGTCTCAGTTACAGCAAAAATCTATATGTTAAGATAATTTGCATTGCAGCCTGTGCTCATTCTACATTATTTAGCCAGCACGGCTCACATCTGGTGGCTGCACAGATAAAACTGCAATCTTAACATTTGTCATTTTAAACAAATCCAATTTTCTAGCATTACCTCGAATTCAAAGCAACAAGAAGTAGCAGTGAAATTACACAACTGCCACATGAGCCACTCCTTCAAGAAGCTGATACACCCTCAGCTGCTGCAGATTCATTTAACGTGGACAGGATTTGCTAATGGCATTTTAGAATCCACAAATTTGCCTTAAAAAAAAAAAAAAAAAAAACAAGTTCCAGAGTCCATTAAAAATAATCTCAAAAGGCCACACTTTGCGTAAACGGATAAATCACAAACATTTAACGTCGTCCTAGTGTAGCCTCTTCTTTCTTGTCGAATTCACGTCTCGCCCAACGTGAAAACTTGATGCACCTCGTTTACCGTTAGTGGCGTGTTTTGGTTACAGCACCTCAGGTCTTGCATGGGTACAACAAAAATGTGGGTTTTCAGTGTATCCGTGTGGATGAAAACGTTTCTAGAAACAGCGCCATGTTCACAAGGATGTTTTCAGAAATGAAAAATAAAATGATAATGTTGGAAAAACTGTGTTTTTCTTTTGATAAGGCCTGATATTGTCATTTCTACAACAATATATTGATTTTATCCCTTCTATGAAACCAGCGTTTCTTGAAGAGTTTCATTTCACCGCTGTCTTTCATTTTAAACAAAGATTGCACACAATCTGATAACGCTTGGTGTATGAGTTAGGAATGACTCTCGGCCTCTAACACACAAAATATTAGCTTAAAATCTGTAAAACTGAGGGCGTTACTGCCATTTTTGTGTTTGCCATGTTGATCAGATATGATGTCCATCTTAAATGAAGGTGACTAAAGTTGTAGACCAACAACGAAATATCACTTTCTGGGAGTTTGGTTCAAAATTTTCCACTGGTTTGTGAGATATTTTACTAACAGACAAAAAAATTAACACACAAGCACACAAATTGCCAGCCACCGTTAAAAGCAAGGGATAAATATTGTGCAGAAGAACATCAGTGGATTTTGAGCCAATAAAAGAAAACATTTATAGAGAAAATACTTAAAATTGCGATGTATTTTTTTTTTTCCACAAGTGCAGCTCGTACCCGTTTGTTTTGGAGAATACATAAATCTTTGTTTTTATCAGGATTCCTTTTTCTCGGCATAAACATGCAAAAAGTAGAGGTAGGGATAAGAAAAGAAAAGCATAAATTAAACATTTAGTGGATATTTCTGAGGGTTTTGACATGATTTATCCTCTTAAGTTGTTTTATTCAGTTTTCTGTCTGTTTTACAAAACAATGGCGCTTAATCCATCGGCTCTATTTCTTAATCTTGAAAGATAAGAAGTGTTTCGATTCCTCGCCAGCCCCGAGGCTTCGGCTGTGAAGGCTGCAGTGTACTCACAGCTGAAGTTGGAGGAGATGGAGTTCCCAGCCAGGAGGCTGTTGACGGTAATCTGATAGATGATGTGGAGCAGCAGGAAGGACATACTGGTGAAGCAGAGGGACTGCAGCAGACGCCCAGTGTGGCCTAAAAGGTCAGAACACAAACAGCCAGTTCAACAACACTCAAACGATTAAAACTTGCTTTTGTTGTCAGAGTTTCTTTATTTTTCATCCGCACCACATGTGGTACATGTGGTGGAACGAAACTGTCTGCACAGGGTCCCAGTTACATCCAACAAAAAGAATAAAAGTAAAAGAAAAACAGTAATAAGATCCAAGATATGAACTAAGAAAAATGTTAAATAAAAATATGCTAAGCACTAGAAGTACTAAAACAATACGCCGAACAGCAACATTGTGCTGTTGGTGCACAGATTAAAAAAATAAATACTGGTATATTTACTGGGTACAGTAGTCCCTCGTTTATCGCGGGGGATCCGTACCCTGAAACTTCACGATGTGAAAAAATGCAAAGTAAGAATAATAATACAAGTATTAAACAGTAGTTTATATACAAAGTATATATATATACACATTATACACACACACACTAAAACGTGTATGTATGCATGTATATATGTATGTATATATATGTATATAAATATATATACGTATATATATATATACTATATATATATATAAATATATATACATATACATATGTATATACATATATATACATATGTATATACATATATATACATACATATATATATATATACATACATATATACATATGTATATACATACATATATATACATATGTATATACA